AAAAAAAGGGAGGGGGGGGGGGGGGGGGGGGGGTACACCTATCTGTCAAGTCTGCATAAGTGATCAGGTACCCAGATCAATTCAATCTTCTGTGGAAAGACCAGTGATTACACCTAAACAAACTCAGGGTTGCTGCTGTATCTGTGAGTTGGTTTTAACCCTTTCATTGCTTTGGAGGAATCCAAGTCATTGGCCACCTAGAAAATGGTACAGTCATGAAACAACCTTTAAAGTCAAAGTCTTAAAAGGGCATTTTTTTGTAATAAAATTGTTTTGAATAAAATTTACAGACAGCTATAAAAATTTAGATTTTCATTTATTTTATGGAAATGAATGCATTATTTTATAACACATGTATGATTTTAGCAAACACCCCTGGCACTAACCTAGTCTTGGGAGATAAATGGACATCATCCTGGCAATCCACTCCTCACTTGTTCTCTCCTACCTCTAAAAATAGTTATCCAGATATACACATGGGGGGCACAAGGTGCATTGGGCCTTACAATAGTTGTCTGATACACCAGAAATCATCAGGACCATGTTATGACAGTCAAATGTAAACAGTTCTAGGGGATCTATAGACATGTGATGATTGTCACCTTACCCGTCCTGCATCTAAAAGCTAATTTATAGGCACCAGACACTCCGGATCAACAATTATTGGGTAAAATACTGACTAGCTTTGTTGGTTAACAAGTGTGACTGCTATTATTTGTTCATGATAAGCTGCCTGAGCTTTAAGTCACTTGGTTAACTTGTATATGCATACATTTCCATATACTGGCCAACCCTGTGTTACTGCCTAATTTAACTTAATGGTACCATGTAACTTTCAAGGTCAAAGAAAGAATGTTACCAATTTCATCTTTCCGCATGTCCTTCAGCTTATCGATAGTGAGCTTCCTCTCTTCCAGTTTTGTTAACACAGATGGTGGCAGAATGGAGAACTGCCTCAATGGGCTGGCCCAGCCCCACAGTCGCTTATCTATGATTTTGCATAGGTTCAAAAGTCTATACGTCATAGCTGGCCATTTTTTTCTGAGAGCTATTTCAAAAAGGGCTCGTACAATTCTAGCTGCATTCTGGAAAAATAATTATCAATGAAAATAGTGTTATAAGAAATAATACAACAGACACACAAAAAATGTTTTTTTACATAAAAAAGTGTTACAACCAGATCACATAAAGAAGTTGTTGCTTAGTATTCTCCAATATCTACTTGTTTACAAGTGATGTGTGTGATAAAAAAGCCAAAGTCAAAGATCTAAAGCTGAACCAGCTTAGTATTGAATTGGAGCTGGTATATCTGCAAACTGATCTGTAATTTAATTAGCCAGAGGTAAGAGCAAGGCCAGATTTCCCACAAGGCCAACCAAGGCCCAGCCTCGGGGCAGCAGGGAGTGGAGGGGCAGCAGGGGTGTGGAATTCCTATCTCCCGATGCCTTGGACATGCAGTTCTGGGCGCCGTGCGGATAGTTGTTTTCTATATCTAGCCCTGCTTTGGGCAAGCAGGGCTAAATGTACAGCGGGGGAAGCCGCTGCTTGTTTTGTACAAGTGATCTTGGCAATGTCGCAGAGATCACTTGTATGCAGCCTGCAGGTCTGCCATTCTCCATGGGGGGTTGGCGGGTAGGGGGGTGCATTGAGGAACCTGGCCTTGGGGCAGCAGAGAGAGTAAATACGGCCCTGGGTAAGAGCCAAGCTTTCTCCTACTGCAGTTATGCAATACAGCTACTACCCGTCAACAGACTGTGACTGGACAATATAGAGGCAGCAGTCATCTCTCTCTTTCTGTTAGTAAGTTCCTTATCAGCACATGCTCATTCAGGAGAGCCTTAATGGCTCTAATTCTCTGAACATGAGGTACCAAAACTGGGGACTGGCCATTGCTGATTGCTCGACAACCACAACATGAATGTAATCAATGAAAGTAATCTTCATTTGACAGATTTGATTTAAGACATAGTACACATATGTAAAGCACTGGCCTTCTTTAAAGCCTTGTGGCAATAGCTTAGTAAATCTTCTGATGAAACCAACAGGTCACTCTTACCTGTGCAACATATCCAGAATCCGAGATAAGGGAAAAATTGTCCAATTCTCCTCTTCCAATATATGTTTGTAGAAGAATGTTAATTTTTCCATAGCCATTTTCTACTCCACCAGCAACTGGAAGTTCACAGTAATTATCAATTAAGTGTTCTAATTCACTACTTTCTTCCTCACGTACCTACCATGGAAAATTATATAAATAAAAAAAACATATACATTATATAAGTATTATTATGTGAGTATTATTTGAAAAGGAGCTATGGATATCTACTAGAAATACCAAGCAATAACCAGCCAGATGTTTGCTTTAATTACTTTAGTTTAACATTTCTCAAATAATGGAATCTACACCTCAAATTCCCTGTGCAGGTCCAACATATACTCATCTCTTTGCTAACTGAAATTCACAATAACAGTGCAACACAAAATTAAATACATATTGATAATTTCTTTAAATTACATTTACAAAGAGTATACAGGTACATTGATGAGTAAACATAACCAAATACAATTGTCATCTGATCTTGTTGAAATGGATTTTATGTCTATGGATAGCAGCAAACCAATGCAGACATCAGTCAGGATGGCTGATCATTCTCAGGGAACTATCAATCAGCCATGCTGGATTTTCTTTTGCTCTCTACTATTTAGGGAAAACAAATGCGCAGGGTAGAGAGGAAGAGGTGTGTATTCCTAATCTTATTTATTTAGATATGCGTTTTGAGTTCTTGCTATTGAGATTTACTTAAACACAGGCTATTCACAGCAAAGCTGTAAAGTTAGCTTAGATATTTACTGTTTTTCCTTTTTTCTGCATGTTGTTTATAATTGCACAAATCTTTAAAAAAAAAAAAAAGTTATATTGGAAAAA